CACATTAAACCCAAGTGGTCGAGGGTTCCCCCACAAAGTGAACGAGGTATTCTAAATTAGGACCAGAAAATCTTGGACTAAAATGAGTTTAACCTTGTGGAGAAAGGTCGAAGAATAAACACCTGGGGCTCGTTTCTCAAAAAGGCCTACGACCAAGTGTAAGCTTAGTCCGGACTAATTCAGTGACTAAACCCGGAAGTCGGATCAAGTTGCGTTTCACAAAAAGGCGGAGACTTAGTCGAGACTAAATTTTGGTTTAAATCTAGGCCTGCTCATGAGTAGGCGTAAGTTCTTAGTCAGTACACAACTTGGGAAAAGGGCAATTGTTTTAATTATAAAGGGTTAAAAAATATTTATTTATACTTATGCGATACAGTACCTATTCATATACATGTGCATAATTATATGACATGCAAAAAATCATGAAAACAACATAGACATGTAATAATATGTAGACAAGTAGAGATGCAAACTTTTTTCCGCAAAAGGTGGGATGAACTAAAAATTTGTAATTAATAATTTTGAATTCTAGTTGGGTAGAAATAGATGAAGCGTCAGATTTTATTTTCTAAAAGTGTAGGCACGCGTTGTGGGATGGGGGGGGGGGGGGGGGGGGGGCTGCAACCCTCCCAATTTTTTTATTGCAGTAATGTGTTTTCTGTGTAAAAAGGTGTATAATTTACACTTGTAGATGTAGAGGGGGAGGGAAGCAGTGTCCAAAATTATAATAAAAGATTTACTCAATCATTTTTAGTGTGGCTGTGGGTGCCTAACCCGACCCCAATCTAGCTGCGCCTTTTTCAAGATTTCTGAATCCGCTACTATGTTAATGCTTTAAACTTGAAAATACAGATGGGTTTGCATAATAGATGCTGATTGAAAGACGGTGAAATGGGAAAATATGCAAAGCGTGCTCGTACTTCCTGTGGTTTACATCCTTTATTTAGGTTCAAGTGTGATATTATTTTGATCCGCCACATGTCATTGTACATAGTGTCTAAACCAAATAAAATGCGATCTGCGCATGCTTAGTACCTAGTGGAGCGGTCTTAGTTCTGGGCCCATTCTTACGCCGCTTTCTGAAACGCGATTTAGGCCCGTCTAAATTTTGGCGTAACTATTTTAGTCGGACTAACTTAGGCCAATATCTACGACTTTCTGAGAAACGAGCCCCTGTTGATGAAATGTCATTGAGATGGACACAGCTGTCCTGGTAACGGATGTGTTGCCGTATCGTGGGCCGTGGACGAGGCAACCCAGTTGGTGTAGGATAGAGATCCGACGGATGGACGGATGATTCCGTCTATGTGGATGACACAGAATGTGACTCCTGAGAAGTGGATTTTTTTATACTCTGGCAGAGCAGAGTCAGTCATTGTTTGGTTAGAATTAGGCTCAACGTGTTTCTGGTTCATGCTAGAAGTCTGAACCGCTTGGTCCTTGTAGATTGAACGTGCAATCTGAAAATAGTTTCTAGGCGTAGGTGCGTACATATGCAAACGTTTTTCTGTTTATGTGGATCGGTTTATCTAAGGTCCTCAGGGTACAAAAATTCAAAGAGTGTAATCAAATGTGCTGAAACGGTCTCCTTGACATGTACACTATGCATGTATAATAGCATTATGGAGAACATTGATAAATTTTCCAAACTTCAAATGTACATTGGACGTAAATTTATTATTGATTTCCTTGATTTCTCCGCTTTCGGAATTCTTCCCGAGAAATACTTAGTTATTAAACAGCGGGCTGTTACGCATTTTTTTCTTTTTTTTACGCGAAAACAAAAACAGAAGAGGAATAAAAGGTGTTGAATTGATTTTCAATTTCAATGTTTCGAATGGCGTACCAGTGAACCTGACGAAAGTATCTGAACAAAATACTTTTCATATTCATGCGTTATATACTTTGAAATTATATTTGTTATTTCTCATGTTATGCTAAATCGTATTTTAGATGTTTGACAAACACATGAATTATGCTATCTCATCTATAAATTAACCTTCTGTACACGTAATGTGTATAGATTTCATTTATTGAACATGTAGTTACACATTGAAATTTCGTGATAAATATTCATCAGGCATTTTCTACATAAAATTGATTATATCAGATCTTTATTACGCTCAGAATTATTGGTCGAGTATGATTTTAATCAGTATGAAAAAAAATATAAAATGACCAAATTAACTAGAAAGTCCGCTATTGCAAGCAATAGCGTATGTCGCCCAGAACTGGACAAGACTTTCAATTTTTCATCACTAAAACAGTACCCATAAGCTAAGCTTGGACAACCATAAACTTCTATTAGTCCTTTCAGTACTTTAAAAAGCAAAGTAAAATTTTTTTCACTTTTCCTCTGTTTCCATGGCAACTATTGATAATTTGCAATTTTTAAATGCAACACACACAATTACATATACTTATCATTAAATCAAATAAGATTCACGACGAATGTCAAAGGGACCAGAAAAAACACTCTCGAACAAAATTCGTCGCTTTTCGCAGATTTCCATGTCTACGGTAGCCATTTAAAAATTGAATGACCACACAACACAAAGTCCTTTGAGGAAAGTTTCAAGAAGGTTGTCCCAACCATCTCCGAAAAACAGCCCGCATAACAAAAACATGCCTACAATCGCAATATGTCGGCCCCGACTTCGTTTGGGGCGACATAAATAATAAGAATTGTTCTCCCGATAAGAATATACACGTATAAGTGTATCCCCGGCCCTCCCCGCCACTTCATATACACACATTGATGAAATATAAAATTATTTTTGAACAGAAAAATTTCTAATTGTTTAAATATAGATATATACAGGAAAATTCAAGATCCCAAATAAGATCAATACACTGTAACTGTAAACTCTAATTTTTACACTACATTTTAAGAAGATCAATCATATTGGTGTGAATTTTGAATAATTCAAAGGAACATGTAAATTAGGATCATATAGATAAAATGATCGAATGAGCTAGGGCACATTCATATTCTTGTAATGCACCTGAGATGGTGAAATAATACAATTTATTATACCTCATTATAAATATGCTACACAACGCGTTATCTGATTGGTTCTAGGTTATCACGTGATCGGGCCGTAAAACTTCATATTTGCCGTCGTCGGCACGCTTTTCTTCATATTCCCCCTCTTCGGAACACCAAGTGAATTTTCCCGCAATATAGTTCTCGTTCGTTAAAGGAAAACTCCCGAGAGTCGTAAACGTCACAATAGCCTGGTTTACGTCACAAAACTGATGACAATGTGTTGACACAAGGGTTTTATAGTAACTTTAAGTTAACAATGAAAGTGAATTTGAGAGCGGTGCCGAATTTGAAAGTTTATGTTTATTTCAAAGGTTTTGCTTGTTTCGGTATAATAAACAATTCATTGCATGAATGTTCGGGAAACATGAAAAATTATTCAGCCAAGAAATATCATATTCCCCTCGGGCGAAGCCCTCGGGGAATATTATTTTTCTTGGCTGAATAAGTCTTCATATTTGCCTCACTATCGTGCAATAAATGTATATTGTCAGCTTTTTTTTTCTTTTCTCCTCCCTTTTCAGTAAAAATTGTAATAACAATTACTACATGTATCTTCTTTTTTCATTTTCGCTTTGACTGATATATTTACCCAATTTATATTTATCTATAGACTTTGAATATAAAAAAGCTAAATAAAATACATGGGTAAATAAACATGTAACATTCTATCTGCAGAATTATAATATATAAATTAATGTATCAACTGCTTATATTAATAAAAAGAAAAAAATAAATGAAGATAATATACAAAACGGAGAATTAAAATAACTAAATATAAAATAATTTCTCAATTAGTGTAATAGATTTACACCGAACATTAACATTGCTTGTAAGTTCAGTGTTTGGATTTATGTCAAATAACATCAACATCCCATTCGACAGATTAATATGCCATTTTTGGTCGACGCGCCGATTAGTTAATCGCTAATCGTGATTGACAGCTCTGTAAAGCAATGCCGAAAGCGCGTTCGAATCCTGGGACCGCTACTGAATTTGGGTCGCTCTCTGGGTCCGCTTCGGGTTCGCTCGGGGTCCTGCGCTTTGGGTTCGCTTCGGGTTTGCTCGGGATCAGCCCTAGGGGAATCCGAGCGAACCCAAGGAGCGAACATGGTGTGCTCTTTGGGTTCGCTTTCTGTTAGGTTGTGTTCGGTCGGTACTGTACCTTTAATTTTAATTTTATTCAATGCACATGTCCGCACATACATTATTGTGTACTTAGATGTATCAGCTAGAAATTTTCATACCAATACTTTTCTCAACTGTGTTGTAATCGGTAACCCCAAAGAAATCCATTTTTTTTCTAGAAAAGATTTTTATGATAATGAAAGTACTATTCGGTAACGTACATTACAAATCACTAAATATTAATTGTCTCATGTTTGATTTGAATTCACTTGATAAACGGGTGTTTATAGCAATTTTGAAATTTTAGGCAATCCATCGACTGACGTAAGTATATAAAAAAGGGGAGCAACTATTCTTTCGCCATGCACTCGGCACTTTGAAGTGAAAGTTGAGGGTCTTTCACATTGGGCTTTAAAAACAGACACCCTGTATCACGGCAAGTGTTGGCAATATAAAGAACCCTCACTGCTCGTAAAGGTCAACATTTGAAGCCGATCACCGACACACAGTTACGTCTTCATATGTGTGAAAAATTCTCGAGATACAAGTCTCACCGGTTTATGGTGACGTCTTTATTTGAGTGAAAAATTCGCAAAAGGGACGTAAAGCAACATACAATCAATCATTCAATCAATTATCGATTTTATTTATAAACATTTCGTTTTGATAGCAGAAGTTTTTTGTGTATTTTTAACTTATTAGATTGAGTTTTCCTTTAAACTTTCATTTGAAAAGACAGATTAAAAGCCATGTAAGTTTTACGTGTTTTTTTTTTATTTTTTAGATTATTGCGATTATAATGCAAACTAGATATACGTACATGTACTTTTCATTAAACACTGGTTGCGAGATCTGTCAAAATGTTTATCATCACCACATCTCGAATCCTGAGAAAATATACAAAAATTCATGAACGTAAACACAAAGTAACATTTGGGAAAAATAGATCGATTGCTAAATGATTTTCAACTATTAAAATTTTATAGCACAGCTTTTATAATAGATATATTTTGTAAAAGTATAATTACCATTTTGTATCTTTTACAGGTTTCTTTGTAGTCGTCTGTAGATGTAGACGTAAGATTTAAGGATTTTACAAGTCTACAGTACTTTTCTTCGTCAGAATCACAGATGTCCACAGCCAAGCATTTCGGATTTTCTGCACATTTGTTGGAACATGTTGCCATCATAGAGTATGAAAAGGTTGTTATTGTCTCGAAAACATACATATCAAATGTTTTAGGAACACTTCCAAAATAAGACAGAGAATGACAGTTGTCTGCATTCAAAAAGATAATGCAAGAGAACAGAAAATATAGAAATATTGCCTCTACCAGGAATGACATAGCGAAGGTTTCCTAAATGACTGATAGTGAGAAATGTCTGCATGATTTTATATGAAATATAATGGCTGTTTTATTATTCATTATTTATTGATTTCGTTCTTTTATTATCTTGAAAATAAAATATTGGTAGAAAATAATGCAGAAATAAAATCAATATCTTTGCTTAAACTTCAGTGCAATTTGAATGGTACCTCCAAGTTGGCATGTTATTCTGAAAAACAATTCCAAAAAGTAGTTGAAATAACAGTTTTCTATATATTTTGTTCCTGCGGGTTCAGCCTTTAAAGGTAGCAAATTAATGTTTGCTTTTTAAACTTCTGCACTGATTATCTATAAAGAAATTATTTACATGTACAGGGTATGTTTGTTTTTTAAACATACCTCTCTATAGGGTTTCATCCCGAAACTAATTCACAAATGTTTGTAAATGCCATTACTTTCAGTATTCGTGCAGCGCAGTGGCCAGCGTGTGTGTCTCAAAGGGAATGATACTCAGGATCTATTTTTGCTAGTTGTGCAATTTATTTTAATCGGAATCAATTATAACATGTCTCATTTTGAATCTTTATTTCCTGAATTCAAAATCAGCAGATATTAATTTTGTGTTCCGGATGTAATTACAGTTCTCTTTTATGGGACGTGATTCAAGGAAATAATAAAGGTTAAATACTTCATATTAGATAAAATTCTTTTTCAACAACCTTTTATATGTATCTTTAATCATTTGATATATGTTATAAAGAATAGAATGAAAAATTCAATAAATAATTAATTCTTTTCAAAGCAAATGCAATGTATCATATTTGAAATTAACACTGTTAGTAAACGAAATTATAGGTGTACATGTAATCAAGTATGTAATCAAGTATTCCTTTTATTAAAGGAAAAGTCGGTATGGAAGCATAAAGTTAGCTTCATAAAATTTCATAGCAAGGGATACGCAGTACAGTTAAGGCAACACGTGAAAGAATATGGTAATGAGGTCATTATGAGGTTGTACGTCATTACAGTCGCTCCGCCCTGATTGATCCATATAAAGAAATAGAGCTCAAGAAAAATATTTACCGATATTTGCAAGATTTGTAACAAAAAGGCAATATTTTCATGCTAAAAAAAATTATCAGTGATTTTCTCTTACATAAAATAGCATTTCTATAAAAAAAATTCTCTTTTAAATGTAACGTTTGGCTGCATACGGCTTCAACCAAGCGCTTGCACTCGATGACACGGAATGTTGGTTTCATAGGAAAACATGGCGACATCAGCTGAGATATGAAATGGATTAAATGCAATTACCAGGCAATCTTTAAACAGAATAGGGATAAATTAATCCCTTACATGGCAAAGATTTTAAACATTTCTAGGCAAAATGACATAAAGAGTTTTAATGCAATTTTTTTTTAGTATTTCTTGAAACTTTCGTATATTCCAATGTTTATATATTCTGTAAGCAGGTATTATATACTTGTATACTTTTTGCAAATTGTTATAAAATATCATTTCAGTAGCTATGGCAACGAAATACATCATAATCATCCTGGAATTTCTATTTATTTAAGAATGAGGTTCATTAAAGTTTTTTTTGGCTTAGTTAAATATATCAAACATGTTTAATTGTTGTTTGGAAAATTATGAGCATGTTGTAATTTTTTACAAACCAATTTTAAGTATTTCAGGGGATGAGGTGGGGTTGAGAGGTAATCACAAGAATTTAGCATTTTTACATATTACGTGTTACCCCTGTATTCAGTTCGATAATGGCAAAATCGCTCAAATAGTGCGCAAAGTTCAACTCAAGCTAGCAGACAACTGGTACAACTAATTAAATAAACTTCTGTATATTTTTTTATCGTAATCATTTTCTCTTTCCAACGGTGCAAAATTTATTCTGATAATTGCAGTATTCATAAAGTTATTAATGTTTTATCACAGTTTACTCGTTTTTCAAGTCAGATGCTTTGAAATGCGTAAATGCTATGTAGGGGGTTAAGAGACAAGGAATTGTTTATCCCTTTTATGAGAATACTAGGACATTATTTCGGAAAATAATGGAGAAATGAGGCGATCTGATACTGATTCATAGCAGGTACATGTATGTATGCACATGTAGGTACAATATGTAGACAAGCTTTTATTAACATCAAAGAAAAAAAAAGACAAGTGTGTGCATGTTTATTTAGATGTATTATCACAGTCATGCAGTGAAAAACTGTAATACAATGCCTTGTGTGTAAACCCCTCCCCCCCCCCCCCCCCCCCAACAATCCCCATACAAAATTGCACACTTTTTAGAATTTTTAAAATTTAGTAGCACTAAAAATATACATAGTTCTTGTTTATCGCTCATTTTCTTGAATACAATATGTGTAGTAATGGAGATCAGCAGTAATATAAATTTAAACTAAAATTAAATTATATGTTTTTATTGTTTTAGTCAATGATTCACTAAACAAGTAATGATGCTGTCTTTTGGCATCAAAACATGCTACATAAATAAAATATTTGTCTGTATCATTATGTTGAAAACATAAAACCTCCACTTCAGATCGGTGTTTGTAAATTTCTAAAATATTTAAATAAATGAAAAAAAAAATCATTTGTTCGTTTGATTACATGTACATTAAGCCAATCAAAATATGTAATATATCCAATAATTATAAACACACACACGCATAATTAATACTTTAGTCATTGTACATGTCATGGGTTTCAGGCCTAAACAGTTAATTAAAGAATGAATAAATAAAAAAAAAACATCAATTTCTCCACATTAGCTAAAAATCATACAATATTCCTTCCAAGTTTATTGATTTGTTTTGATTATAAAACTAATATTAGAATTGCAAACATGTTAATGCATTTTATGCATTATATGTCCCATGTTTCAATGCATTGTTCTGAATTTCACTTTTTTAAAACACAATTTACTCTCAATAATGGTATCTCCTGATTTTTTTTTCATATCATCAAAATTGATTTCATCCACAAGAACATGAAGCGATGGATGCAATTTGCACCTGCCTAGTATTCCTTTTAATACTACAGTGTGCCTTTGAATTTGAAAAAAAAATGTTTATTAAATAAATTTTCTAGCTAAATAATACTTTGAATTTTCATGTACTTTCTGTACAAGTGTTGAAGATTTGAAAATCTTAATTTGCATATATTTTGCGTGGTGGGTGCCAATGTCCATCAATCTTATTTCCAGCATCTACATTGTGTTCATTTGACTTTCAATAATTTTAACTTAAAAAAGGAGACTAAAGACCCCTAAAGACTAATTCAACAATTAGGGGTATACTCCCATCCTTTCCAATAAGTTCCTAAAAATTATAACTCAATTTAAATCTCACAAGTAACAGCTTTTCAAAAAGCTTGCCTGACTTAATCAATCAATATCTGTAAGAGAAGTGATAAACCTTTTGAGCTGCTTTGAAATATATCTTTTTATTTGAGAACCTTGTAAAAATATTTAATTATTTAATTTGTAGAAGAACGATGCCTTTGCTGCAATCTGAAGAGTTGTTAACAGAATGGTTAATGTATGTGGGTTTTCTGCCAATAGCAACTCCTCGGTCCCACTCCTCGGGCCTTATCTAGGGAAGAAGACTACAAATGTATTGTTAATTTATACGCCATGACACCCCCCCCCCTTTCACAAACTTTGAAATAAAAGCATGTATGATGTATATGAACCTATTATCTGTAGAATATGGAGTTAACTTTATTCAATGTAATGATATTATCTAAAATATACTATAGAAGGGACTACTAACTCCGTTTTTACTATGAACAGGAAATGTAGAAGTTTTTAACATCCGATGATGTCGATATATTCGAGTTTGTTTTTCGACCTCTGACGAAAAGACCCGAGATGATGCGATTGAATTTTCTGCAAGTAGATTGATCTACCCCTGGATCTAAATTTAAAGCTACACCTATTCTGAAATCTGTTTTAAAATCATTCATTGTGAACATTTTAGAGAATGGATATAACTAAATACATATCTTGTAGGAAAGTATTTTCTCCAATGAAGTAAACAGTAGTAGTTTGTGTTCATTGATCTTTTTTTTTCTGAAAGGTGGTTACTATAATTTTTTTAGAACGAAGTAGGTAAAACCAAAATTTAGGCCTTTGTGATAAAGAAATCCAAGATTTCGCACAGGTAATTTCTTTCGTCAAATCGTCTGGAATCTGGTTGAACTGCGTCGATCGTTTGTGGTGATTGGACTAGTCCATTAAAATTTGGAATAAACCAACAGAGGGGAAACAAATTAGAGAAATCATTTCTTTAGTTTTGCATGCCCATATTCTGATACATACGATTCATATATTGTTTTAAGGAATAAGATAAAATTTGTAGACAGAATTTCTGAATCATAAGAAGATGGAGGTTACAATAACAAACTTTATTTAATTCCATGGAAGTTAGTACCCCCTTTTCATACAATAGAACAATCCAAGAAAAGGCGCGAAGATCGCTTACTCGTGACATTTGGCGCCGAAAGAGCGATTCACCTCTTTCGTAGAATAGAAATGGACTGATCCAGTAGTATAAAATGCAGAAAAAAAGATAAACGGTCACGTTGAAACGATAAATCACATGGAATAATCTGTTTCATGCAAACAGAGTAAACAAAGTAAATACTGCATTATTTTGCTTCAGTAAAATCATTGTTTCCCTGAAAAATGTTTCTTTTAAAATGCATGTAAAAGATTTCCAATGTAAATCAGCTAGCACAAAATCTAGCTCTCTGGGTATGATCTATTAGTTTCGGATCAAGCAATTATCAATCCTTATACAGCCTGACGCCGTGACGTTAGGCAATAAGGTCAATGTACAAATGATTCAAGCACGGCAACATTTTGTTGCAATATAAAAGACTACTAATTGTAAATGGATGGATAATAATCCAAGTCTCTTACAAGACA